ATTATATTCTTCCTCTTCTTTTATTTTAGAAGAAAACCGGGTTGGAGTGGGCGGGGTTTGTAAAGAGCGGTGCATTGTGGGAAAGTGTGTTTTTTTGACATCTTGTTTCGAAGTTGAACATTTGTTATGGTTGTGAAAAAACTACAAGTCCCAGAGTGTCACTGCCACGTCAGACTAACAACACACTGGTAGAGGTGACCTCCGCCCAGTTCAGGTCCCAGCACGACCAGGAAGAACAGGAGCATCACAGCTAACACACTTTGACCTTGTAGCTAACATGGTAAGACAAAATGACAATAATTCAACTGAATGTATTTATATTTGACATCTACAACTCTTCTGTAAATAATACTAAACAGAATTGTACAATTATTTCCGGTGAAGACGACATGTCGTTCATCTGGTTTACGTTAAAAAACAGATAAAATGTTTTTATGCTCGTATTGTTTGTGTAGATAAATTAAAGCAGACACAGTGTTGGAGTCAAACAGATGGTTGTATATGATTTATGACACGGTTCAGTATTATAAAGATGCAACAATAACACGGTTAAAACAGGAATACAGATGAGTTTTAACGCTTCATAGTTGTTTGTTTTTACTGCATCCATTTTAACAAGAGGCAGGATGCTGCAGCCTGCAGCCTAATGACGTCACAGGGTCCATATTCTGTGCAGGCTTCTCTAACCACAGCAAACTGGTTTCCTCTGAACCTCTGCTCACAAACTGGGAGGGTGAAATGTTCAAATGTCAGGCAGTGACGTATACAGGCAGTTTATCATGAAGGCTGATATAAACATTTAGTTTGTGGTGTGCACCAGCTGTTTGATCAAACACAAGCTTTATGTGCATCCATGTTGTTAGCTCTTTTTACTGGAGTTTGGTGCTGAGATGTTCCCACTGCCACAGGAGAGACTGGTGACCTTGTGAACCAGCAGATAATCATGTAGTTACACGTTAAAAACAAAACCATGCACAGCCAGTGTTACAACGTGCAGAGCATCATTTTCATGTCTGTATTTTGTTCATGTACCAGAACGAACCTCTCATGTTTTCTCCCTGCAGGCTGAACCACTCCGGGTTGTTGTGACTGGTGCTGCTGGTCAGATAGCCTACTCCCTGCTGTACAGCATCGCTAAAGGAGATGTGTTTGGGAAGGACCAGGTAAAATCACTGCTTGATGTGATTATGTAACTCCTCCTCCTCCCTCTGAACCTGATTACTGCACAGACCAATGTTTGTAGCTGTTATATAAACACATGCACTGTCAACGTTGGACTGAGTCCTGCCTCTAATGAACATAAACTGTACTTTGTAAATTTCCTTTTAAAAAATGCCTAAATAACTCAACTAAACTTACAGGTATATTGGATATTCACATTGAATTAAAATGTCCTTGAGAATTTTTATAGGTCAAACTACTTAACTCTGATTTTTATTCATGCTTGCAAAATCCTGAAAACGGTGCATATTTAAAAATATAAAGA